ATTTATTTATTTATTTTTGCCTTCCGACAATTGCAGATGTACCTCAGAAAACTTTCACTTAATGTCTCATACTCTACATGAATATTGAACCAATACGAAGTACAACAACATATGTAGGACTTATTTCTACTGTCACTTACATCGTAAAATATCTCCGTCCTCTGTATCATAAGTATGGTCTGTTAGGTTTATACGCCGTCTTAACGGTGTCCGATCTGTTTTTCTTTTTTTTTGTTGAATTCTACGGCGTTTTTTGAGCAAGAAAACATTTTTTTTTTTTTGGCTGGTGCTTGAACCATGTGACTAAACGGCCGGAAAACCTTTGAGTCGGCCCAAAAACGGTCATTTTTTGCCCTTTTCCGGGGGGTGGGGTACGTGGGGCATTGAGCCTAACCCCCCCCCAAAAAAACCAAGAACTATCCCCAACCCTAAAGCTATCCCCGCCTAGACTCAGCCATCCACAATACGTCCCCCATACCACAACCATATTGATAGTGACCCACACACTAAGTTCAAGACATTTTGGGTTCCACACTAAAACCAAGACACTTGGGGATCCCACACTAAAACCAACACACTTGCGGGGCAAAAAAACAACCGAGTAGGGTCCAAATCCCACCCCCCTCTACTCAGCGACCCATATCGCGCCCCCTATACTCAAAGCAGTATAATAGTGGCCCCACACTAAAACTAAGACACTTGGGGGTTCCACGCTAAAACCAAGACACTTGGGAGTACCACACTAAAACCAAGACACTTGGGGATCCCACACTAAAACCAACACACTTGCGGGGCAAAAAAACAACCGAGTAGGGTCCAAATCCCCCCCCCCTCTACTCAGCGACCCATATCGCGCCCCCTATACTCAAAGCAGTATAATAGTGGCCCCACACTAAAACTAAGACACTTGGGGGTTCCACGCTAAAACCAAGACACTTGGGAGTACCACACTAAAACCAAGACACTTGCGGGCAGAAAAAGTTGGTGTTGGTGGGCCCAGCGCACCCTTGGGTATCCGTACTTGGCCCGGCGGAATAGCCAGCGCAGCCTCCACTACAATTGCAATGCGGCTGCCCACTGAAAGCTCGCCGCCCTTGGGGCGATGTGGGGGGGTACTTGGGGGCGTATCCATCTTTTGCATAGTGTGTGGGGGGTGGTAATCACGACTGATCTCACGAATTCTAAAAACAAATCTCAAAAAAATACTCAAAAACGTTCTCACAAAAATTATCAAAACAGGCCAAAATGGGCATATTTTGACCTACTTTAGTGTATAACACGGTCTTCGAATGTTTTTCTGTTTTAGTCAGCTTTGCATGTGTCTTGCCCTTCTAACGCACCCAGCCAAAGGCTAAACGTCAACGTGTAAGTATCTTTACTACTACACGCACATAACAGACCAGACTTATGATACAGAGGAAGTACAAGAACTACAAATATGTAGTGAGCCAAGCCCACGTTGACACTTATACGTTTGTCCACACACGAATGTCCTCCTTTGCAGGCCTCCATGAACGTATTCCGGGAACATTCCGCTTCGGTGGGAGGCGCCTATGGATGCACCCTCACCCCGAAAGACGTCGCTCAGGAAATCCTGTTCACGAAGGGGTGCCTCTCAGCTGGTCTGGTGACCTTTGAACGCCCTGAACAACCCCGCATGAAGGACGCTTATCACTACGCCGGCGTGATGCTGCCGTCAGCGAATCGTCTTGCGAACCACATCACGGTCATTTTGAAAGAAGAGGTAAGGAAAATGTGACGTTCAGTGGAAGGAGCTAGAGGTGGGGGGTGGTGGAATGTGTTGTGAGCCGCCGAAGTTGAACACTGGTTTAAAGGACGTTGAAAACATGTAACCCGCAGTATTTTGGACACCCGACCACCCCCACTCCCTCACACATCAGCCCTCGTGCACCATTTATTCAGATGAAGATAATACTGGGAGAACTTGGCGACGGCAACTACACGGTGTGCTTCGACGGAACCCTGTATCGCTGCGAGTGCTTCGGCATCGGTATTCGGTTCATCGACCAGACGGGACAGGTAGGTGGGAGATGGGATGAGAGTTCAGAGGGTAGCTGTCACAGGCATGCAGGGACATCGTGTTTTTTTTTATGGTCGACATCTTGCCCGAATTCTGGTCCATCGTCCGTCACCCGTCGTCCATTGCGAGATCGCGAGCGTGTCTCATTTTGATGAAAGAGGGAAGAGAGCATGTTTTGTGATAGGTTGTGCGCCATACGTCATACGTCACCCATGCTCGTTTTCATCGTTTTCCCTTTCTTTTTTCCATTTCCCTCTCTGCCCTCTGCCTCGGGTGTCTTCATTTTCGGTTGGGTAGATATGTCAACCCCTCCTTTGGCTGAGCATGCTGGCCAACAGCATGGACTACCAGGACATCTACGGCGAAATCCACAAGGTCGTGTTCATGGAGTACAAGCTGAAGCCCGAGCGCTGCCGTGGCTTCATGTTGGACGGATGCTCCCCCAACTTGAAAGCCCTCCTGGCACTGGTGACACACTGCCGGTTCGCTGTGGGCGTACGCTGCATGTCCCACGTTATCAACAAGGCCGGCAACCAGATTGAAAGCGGCCAGATCGACAAGTTCGCCGGCGCCCTCCACACGGTCCTCTCACACAGCCACAACGCTCACGACCAGTGGCGGAAGGCGACGAACACGACGCCCCCAAAAGCCCCCAACCACCGTTGGGGTTCGACCTACGAGAGGAACAACCAGTTGGTGACGGGCTGGCAGCCGGCCAAGAACTTCATCGACGCCTTCAGCAGCAGCGACGAGACCAAGTCACGAAAGGCCGACTTCTGCTGGGGTGAGCTTGCCAGGCTCGGGAAGGACGGGTACCACCAAGAGTTCTGACTGCAGGTGAAATTCGCGGCCGCTGTGGACATCGGGAAGCACCTCGTGAACGGGACGTATGTGCTCGAGGGAGATGACATGCTGGTGAGATATGCTATTTGTGTTTTTTTCTTTATTTCCCTCGCTACTGCTGGCCCCGTAGAATTTGTGCGATCGCCGTTTCTGCTGGTCCTGTGGTTTGGTTGCTAGCATTTTGGATGATGTCCTGTAATATTTTCCCTTGTGACGACCCTTAGCGCTAACCGCCTTCCACGGGTAATTTGCTTGGCTGTTTCCTGTTCTTGCTTGCCTCGTTGTCCTTATCAGCTTCCTGTGGCGTATGAAGTCATCCTCAGGGTACGGGCGGGACTTACCCTCACGCGAAAGGCGGACGGCTCCTTTGGCAGGCCGCATCTCCCGAATGTCGATGCGCTCATCCAAGAGTACAGCAAGGGCGACATAAGTACATTGTGATTTGAAGTAAAGAAAACAAGTAAAATTTTTCGCGGGATGGATTTGTGGCACACAACGCTTGCACTGCTGCAATCTGCACGCGCAAAGCGCATAGACAGCAGTATTGATCAAAAATCAACTCCTGCGGGTTTACTCTTACTCCCCTGCCCGTCTGCCCCCCCCCCCCGATGTTTTATGCTTTCTGCTTTCTCGGATTGTGTAGGCCGTGATGATTTCCACGTTCGAGGAACACGTGCGCAAAGACATGCTCCCCGTGCAGACGTACACCTGGGAGAGGATCGGGGACCATCCCCATGCGGAGCAACGCGAGAGTATCTCCCTCTTCCAGGCTGCGCGGCTCTTCGACTTCCGCTATGTGAAGCAGCATCAGTTGAACGTTGCTGACATCGACCTCCTCGATCGCTTCCTTCGTTTCGGAAGATGTCGTCGCGAGACTAAAAGATCAGATGGTTGACTATAATATGGCTGCCTCTGAAGTTGACACCGGCTACGACTTGTGGGCATTCTGGCATGACAATAGGCACAGAGAAACCTTTCTCAATGGTATCAAGTTGCGAAAGACATCGCTTTGCCTCAACCGTCCTTTGCCTTCATGGAACGTGTTTTTTCCATCCTGCGTGCTTGTATGGATGCAAGCCGGGAGAATAGTTTTAGCGACCGCGTGGCTGCATCCACACTTCTTAAGTACAACAGAGGCCGGGGAAAATAGGAACAGGGAAATGGGGCGAATAGGGCGTGCTGGGAGCTGGGGAGTGGTGTAGCCAGTATTGTGGCTGGTGTTCTCGTGTTGTCCGTTCGTCTATGTGTTGCTTCTTGAGTGGTACACTTGTTGTTTCGTGCGAAGGAATCAGAGGAGCACAGAGCACAGAACACAGAATCAGAATCAACAACGTTACTGCAAATGTTTAATTGTGTCGGCAAAGACAGGGGCACGTGCGCACCTCGCGCATTTACCGTAAAAATGCTGTATATATCGACTCCGTCGGCAAAAACAACCGTGCATATGTGCACGAATAATAACTGGAAAACGAGCATAACTGCGCGCATAATTCCCTGCTGTAAGCACATGCTCGGCCGAAAAAATAAGCATAAAAACAAAAAAAAATCCGCATATTAGGTATAGACTACGCCTATTTGCTGTAGACCATCCATTGTATTAGCAAAGTAGGCGCTCTTGTGTCTAGCTTTAGTGACGGCTCAGCGTTTCTTAGAAAATATTTTTTGTACAATTCATAGGAGAACGACTTAACAGTATAGCCTTTTAGGATATGTTTGGGGTGTCCACGCGTAACTCCGCTGTCACGCTCAACACATCCCGTCGAGGGCGTTTCTGAACAGAAGAAAAGGAGTGAACTCAAGTCCCCTTGGAGACAAGGCGAGAGGCGAGTCCATCAAACCCAACAGATCCACGTACACCCCGGAGATCTCGGGAATCTGTAAATGTAGTCTATGCATAGATCCATCTATCTGCCGAATACACACAAACAAGAAAATAGTATGCACATATATGTACCACAGAGCAGTCAATATGGGGGGGAGGGGGGGGTAACCGCGTCTCTACCCACGGACGTCCGCGTCAGTTGCAGCAGTACGGGCATATAGAAGGCACTGAGTGGAGACAGACCGGAACGGTTTTTAATGTGAAGACAACGACAACAATAACAACTTGCTTGTACCATGGTACGAGCATCGTCCGGAAAAAAACACATTTCGATTTTCTGCTAAGGCGTAGGTACGAGAGAGAGTCAATCGACGGATAGCCTCCTCGTGAACCTTTCTCTTGTGTTGGGTACCCCACATCACTCGTGTTCAAAGCTATTGTACATCATGAATCGCAAAAATATTTACCAGGTAATCTTTTGTACGCGTGCGTATCAAACGATCACGATTTTTATGTTGGTTCAATCATTCAAGTTGCCAAACTTCAAATCACCAAGCGTTGGCTCACCCTCCTTTCCCAACCCTCGTCGCATGAGGCAAGTATTCTGCAGGCTCCAACAGCAAACCCTCTCGACAACATTGCAAAACTCGAACAATAATCATCAAGCTCTTCTCCCGTTCGTCTTCCTTGCCCCTTATCGTGTGTGGTGGGTGATCAGCACAAGGTACCACGTTCTTGTGTAGTCTGTGCACAAACCTCACCACGAAAACAAAAACAACACAAATGAAGATCGATGAGTTTCGCGTGAAATCGTGCAGACACAAGAAGAGAGGGGGTCTTGTGACCGCCATCTACTTGTAGGATCTTCCTTGGTTCCCGCCGTTGAAGTTGCCCTCGGCGTCTGACGCCACCTCCTCTTCTTCCATTGGGAGGTCCTCCTCACCTACTTCATCCTCCGCGTCGTCGCCGAAATCGACACCCGACTGTTTGAGAGTTTCGAACGATAATGCAAAAAGACGCTTAGAAATATCCTCTTCGTCTTGCGTCGTCGTCGATGTTGAGGAAATGAATTGGGTGTAAGGTTCACGAGCTACTATGCAATTCTTGACTACCGATGAAATTCACCCCGATCGTTGTACATATGCATAGTGCCAGTGCAAACCAAAAATGACAGAAGGAGCACGCAGCCCAGGGAGTCCAGATACGCAACAAGGATTCCTACGAGGGGGGACGAACATCGGTTAACAATACATGAACGCTTGACCTGTGCAGGACCGACGCCTGAAGGGTCGAGCTCTTCGACTGGAACTCCGACTTCCTGGCACACCCTGGCCAGAACTCCATGATCGAGGTACGGATCCAGAACGATCCCTCTGTCGCGCATGCTGTTGTTTCAGGAAAACGTTCCGTGCGGTTTTGTTCCGTAACGAGCGGGAGGTCGACCCATGGCGGCCGGACAAAGCGGATTTATTTGTGCACATCCGAAGGCGAAACGCGGTATGAGTTATACATTTTTCAAGTGTGTCGGTGACCCATACTAAGTAGTCGAGGCAGGGGCATACGGCTATCCCTCGGCTACGGAACTTACTGTGCAATCCAGGTTGATGCGGCCGTGACCAATACGAAGATAGATGGGGCTGGAGTCAAATCCGGCGGCCGGGGATATGGTGGCATATCGGATCGCCGAACCAATCCCACACAATACCATGTAATTCCACGACATGCCATTCGATCCCATACCACATGAGCGCCAGTCTCAATCGTACCAAGGTGAAATAAAGACGCCGGTATTCCCTCGATATTGCACCGTCTTTCCACGAAGTGATTCTTGCTGGTTGGGTTACACCGGGGAGCGGAGGGGATGGAAAATAGTTCCTTCGGAGGAGACAAAAACAACGAGAACAACGACCTCACCTTCCCATGAGCGAGTGGCACTGCTGCCAATTGCCTCTTTCGAAGAAGTGATCGACGAGGGCCGCGAAGACGTCTCCCGCTCTCATCGCCGTCTCGAGGTCATCGTTAGCCAAGAGCTGCTGACACATAGCCGCCATGCCGTCAGGATCGTCCTTCGCCAGTCGTCGCGCCTGTACAAACCTGGATGGACAATGCCAAACGTCATGCTTCTTCAGACGAATTTTCAGCAGTATCTCAGTGAAAACGACATAGATACAAGCTGGAGAGGTTAGCTATCAACAACAGAGAGAGGGCGAGCTTAATATAGTCGTCATCCCGCCCGGGTTATCCATTCCCTTGCTAACCCGACAGACCACGAGTTAGACGCCGTGTAGGGCACAAACGTGGCGTAGTGACGGGGGGTCGTTGCGCTATGCTTGATGACGCGCCAACGGAGGGTGGCATCCGTCCACCTTGAAGCATGAACGAACATAGTAGATGTCAAACAAAAGGGCAACGCTCTCGCGGGGTCGCCCGGCATGTTGCCTGAGTCGGCTTCATATGCAGAAATGTCCAACTCTTTGTTCAGCAGCGAGCCGATGGGATCGGTGACAATCTGTTATCTCGCACCTTTCGACAAGGAAAACCCTCTTGTTCAGCTGAGCCAGTTTGTCCCCTGGGGAACCGGCCTTGGCGAGCTGCCTGGCGGCCTCGTTCATTGCCCCCAGAGCCTTCTCGTAGTCCCGGTACTCGTCGATCTCCACCTTGAAAATTGAGAAGACGTTTCGTGGTAGGGTCGTTTCTCCTGATACTCATCTTGGCGAATATCGCGTGTTTCCTTGTCGGGCACTCTAGTCAACCACATCGTAGTAATATTTTCCTACGATTCTTCCGTCTATTTTGCGTGTTCCTTGGGTGGAGGAGGAATAGCCATGTTGAAACTCTACTCTCAAGACAATTCTGACAATATTTGAATGGGCTTGGTATTGATAGCCTCTAGTGGGAATGGAACTTTGTTTCATCTGGGGGGAGGCGTCGAGGGCGCTGCAACAAATCAAGGTACGGAAGGGTTACTGTCAACCGGCTGTACGTGTTCCACGCACGCATTCCTGAACAGTACCAGCAACGACAGCAAAAATAACAACGCGGCCACAGCCGGCGACGACGACGACGACGACGACGACAAAGATGACGTCAGCATAAACACGAGACCTCGTGGTCATTATCGCCACCAGATGCACTGTATGACGGGCCATCAATTTCAAAACACGGCGCTCCATGCCACACTCGCGTTTCAGCATTGTGACAGTATGACAAACCTGAGCGCAGGCGTCGTAGAAGTCGGACAGCTGCAAGTGCGCCTTTGCCTTGGTGTAGAACGCTATGATGGACTTCATCACCTGGACGGGCATGGTAAAACCGCAACCCGGGCGTGTGTTGGTCAAAGCGAGCGTAGTGCGTTCCTTCTCCCGACTCGAACGCTACGTACTTGCAGGACACACGCTCTGGTGGAAGATGCTAGGACTAGACCAATGAGCGTGAGAAACAACTGAGGTGAGCCACCGGATTTCTTGTTGGTTGATAAGGAAGACGAGTGTGTGGGGGGCCCACGGCGCAAAATTCGTGAGGTCCACAGGGCCTGATTTATGCGGTGGTGCACCGGGAGTGCGTACGCACGAGGAGCATAACGATGTGATCGCGTGTGTTGAAAGATCGTACTTACAGGCACCTGTAAAGATTTCGACACAACACCATTTGTGCTCATACCATTCAAATGTTTTGGTTCGATAACGTAGGGACATTCGTGCAGGCACGTCGAAGGACACGATCACCTGTGGGTCATCATGCCAGTCCAAGTTCTGCAAATAATTGGCCGCCAAGATGTAGATGTCGCGGCTGCGGCTGACCCCGGCGTAGTAGACAATGCTCTTCGTGTCGCCGCTCTTCAGCAAGCACTTCAGGGCCTTCAGTCTGTCGCCCGCCTGTTGTGTATTTGGAATTTGGAACCGGGGAGAGGGAAGTCGTCAAAGTACTGCCGAGAGCAGGAGAATACAGAAAAAAGCACATGGAAATGGTGCCTCATTGCGTGTAGTGCTACCAGGTAACTTCAAACATTCGTCGCAATTGAGGAATCCGTCTGTTGCACCGCTGGTGCTGAAAAAGTGGCAACTGGATATTTAGCGAGAGAGTACTAACAGGTACATCAGTTCTCGCATACTTGCTCACCTGTGTGTACTTCTTGCAGGCGAGGTGGAAGTTGCCCTGGCGCTTACACGCCTTCGCCAGCTCCCTTAATACGTCCTCACGAGTGCCTTCTGCCATTCCCCCCTTGCTCTTGCCCATTCGACCGCTCTCTCCACCGTTGCCACCGCTGTTGCTGCTCTCGCCTCCATCTTTTTTAGGGGTGAGTTCTTCCGCCATATCTTCTGAAATGGGTACCTTTTTGTATGAATACCCCATGCGTGTTGCGTCACAGAGTACGGCGGAAGCGGATTGAAAAACGTGACTGTCGGAGGTCGGGGCCAAAAGGAGCGGTTATGACAAAGGCAGTAGTAGTGAAACAAGGGCTCGCCTCGTACGTTCATGTGCCAGGACTAGCAGATGTTTGCCTGGAGTGGTAAACGCAAGTTAGCCGGGCTGTCTCTCTCTCCGTCACTCTCTCTATCTCTAGCTCTATCTGTGTCTCTCCCAATGGTATCTCCCTCTGTGTTGCCCTCCCTCGCCCTATCTTAGTCGTCCCTTCTCGAACTTTCTGCTCTCTTCCTCGCTCTCTCTCTCACCTTATGTGCGACACAGAGCTCAATGGCTTGTAAGTGCTTTCGATTGGTGATGCACAGCCCCACTGCTTTATCGAACTGCCCGTTGGCGACAAAGAACTCCACGCAGCGCGAAAGGACCTACAACAAGTTTGTGATTGACGAATCAAATGTTGGCAAGGTCAGAGACGTATTGTTGGTTGTCCCTGTGGCCTTCCACTCCCAATTTAGAATTTCTACGTTGTCGAGGTGATCGGCACAACGTTGACGAACTTTGATGCAAGGCGTACCAAGGGATCTCATGGAAGGATCGCATCCATGTGGTTGCCCCTCAGTACCGTGAACAAATTGAGATATGCCAGGGCGGGAGGAGCGGGCAGTGAAGTGGATTGAGCGCGTTTTCAGGGAATTGTCCCTACAAGAACGAGTAGCTTCGTCCACCTTCGCTTCAATGGAGAGCTTCCACACAAGGGTCAGCAAAAAACCTGTTCATGTTGTTCGCTTCGTGTCTATTGCCAAGACGACGGCTGTATTCCCCCACGCCCTGGTGGACTCTTACTTATGACATGGTGCATATCTATGCCGTCTCACGCGAGCAGCCAACTCTCTCGACGTATATGAAGTTCCGAAACATTTACAAACTACGCGCTTACATGAGTTCCATGGAGGCTATCCGTTATTCAAAAGCCAACGCACTTTGCAAGCGGACTATGTTGTTGTTGTTGTTGTTGTTGTTGTTGTTGTTGTTGTTGTTGTTGTC